CCCTTGCAATCTAAGTCTTGAAGACAAGTCTGGACCAATTTCTCCATCCTGCCTCTGGCAGCAGACTGTAGCATTTCAGATCCTCCACCAAGTCCCAGCTGCTTCAAAGGAAAAATCCTACTTTCTTCAGTTAAGATCATAAGAAATACAGGGGGAGGGGGTCAGCTCTGTTTGGACATAATTACACTTCATCAAAAGAAGCTTTCTTCATCTTCCATGCGTGAAAAGTCTGCAAGCAGTTAAGTCTGTCTTTTTTTTTTTTTTTTTTTAAAATATAAAAATTGCTATTTGGGAAACCAGCCAAAACTCAGAAAGCCAATATAGTAAAACAGTGCACACCCTTTGTTTCTCTTTGAAGTTTCTTAAATAAATATGTTGAGGGTTTACAAAGTACACTATCACTTTGCCATAGTTTCTACTCAAATTGATCAGAGAAAACTTATGCAGCATCTATATAATACAAAAGCAAGGTAAATGAAAACACTAGCTAGAATCTGTAAACTAGAATAAATAACAGCACCCAATCCTTTAAATAGTAACATTCATTACTCTAGTCAAAAATAAAATAATATTAAGTAAGAAGAGTGGTAGAACTCAGAGCAACAGGTAAAATCATCATGTCCAAATTTTCTTTTTCATTCTTACTAGAAAGAAGAGAAACTTTAATTACATTATGGAACTCCACCAATGACTGAGAAAAAAAAAGAACAAATATACCCACAGACACACATATTTAAAACCCAATTAGTCAATGGTAAGATAGGATGTGTGTTTTCTTTCTTTTAATAAAAGTAAAATAAATCGGATTCACAGAGAACTCCCTAGTTTTCATTCTGCCAAAGCCTCTGAGCCTCATTTTATTTCAAATAACCTTTCAGTGACAGTATCTCATTAGCATGTATCTTTTTTTTTTTTTAAGTTAAAAAGTACAACTTCTTGGCCCTGTTCCTAGAAAGTAAACTAAAACTACTCATCGGAAACAGCCTTGCTTGAATTTCCCTTATCAGGTTTTTACAATGGTAATAACTTGACATCTGATCCAAACTAAAGAGCAATTATTAGACCTGTTTTAAAAACTAGTGCTTCTCATTTCCTAATTCAAACCTAGGTTGTAAGGATTCCATAGGGCTTTGAAATTGTCTTTGACCTCAGTCCATTTTCTCTTATTAAAAAAAAAAAAAAAACTCGTTGCTATCCAGTCAATTCTGACTCATAGCTACCCTATAGGGCAGAACAGAACTGCCCCGTAGGGTTTCCAAGGCTGTAAATCTTTACAGCAGCAGACTACCTCATCTTTCTCCTGTAGAGAAGCTGGTGGGTTCAAACCACCGAACTTGAGGTTAGCAGTGGAGTGTTTAACTACTGTGACACCGGGGCTCCTTTTCCTATTAAAGTACTACTTAAAATGGAAATAATAGATTCAATAAATAAATGAATATAATACTTCTAATAATACTTAAAATGGAAATAATAGATTCAATAAATAAATGAATATAATACTTCTAATAATACTTTAATGACTATTAAAAATCCCTCTGTAGCTTAAGTAAATAAAAATTGAAATATTGGTTTCCTTAGAGATTTTTTTAAAAACATTAACCCCATGGATGAAGTAGCTGTGAAAAAAAGGAAATATTTTCTCTTTTAGGATCCATTTAAGGATTGCTAAGATATAAATACGGATTCAGATGGTAGAAATTTTAAATTGTGTGGAAATTTTAAGAGTCCTATCATTCATCTGTCTAGGCAACTCTAGTCATTCTAAATAAGCAATATATTATTCATTTATTCAAATTAAAAACCTTCCATAAAAAATGATGTTTCAGTATTCTTATTATGAGAATAAACTATATTATACAGAGGTAACGTGATAAATGAAGTACATTATGCCAGTTGTTCTTGCAACAAATTAGAGCAAATTAACATTGTCAGGAAACTGATCCAAAGCAGCCATACTTCTTCCCCTTGGCCACTCAAGTCACTGTCATTCAACAACACATAATTCAGAACTGTTCTTTCTCTCTACTTCATATGCTCACACCCAGTGAAATTAGGAACTAGCTCTTCGGTAAACCCTTTTTCAATGTTCAATACCATAAAACTAATGAAAAAGGCTTAAGTACTCATAAAAACACTCAACTTTCATCTGGACGTATTTAAATGAAACATTCAGTAGTTCTATTTAGTAAAAAAAAAAAAAAAAAGGCGCTGATTCATATATAAACTAATCTACATTTCATCAGAGGATTCTAATATGCTTCTCCTATCATCAATATTAAAAATCAGAGACCTACCTCGTCCACTCCGGCCCACAAATCTCAGATCGTTGAACCTTGCTACTTGGTTTTTCATGACAGCAGAGGCATTTCGGAGCTCAGCAGAATAATTTTCATCATTACCCGCCATGACAGTAACCACAGTCCCATCTGGTACCTCTCCGAGGGCTACCACCTACATAAAACAAGAAACACAGCAACAATAATGGCACATTAGAAAAGCTTAAAAACTGAGAATATATTCTCATTGTAAACGATGTGTCTTATCAGGACTTAGTGCTCCAGTTTGGTAATGGCAGACAGAAATGAAGCATCTGCTTATGCACTGTGATGCCACTTCAAACAGACCAATGTTTTGGGGTCCACCCATTTCAAAGGCAGGCGAAAGTTCCCTGCATTTGTTGTTGGACTCTTCACAGAATACATGTACATTTTTATTAAATCCCCATGTTCAGTTGTCCATAGGAATTAGGCCACAGAATGAAAGCTGCAGATTGTATCGTACATATTAAGGCATTGCCTGTCTGCAGCCTGGGAACCCCTGAGGTGTGGTTTCATCCAGATCACAGGCTAAAGAACAGAAAGTCTGGTCAGCTCTACAGGAGAAGATTTGTAGGGGAACTTGGAGTTGCTGACAACATGGAGCCCCAGACACAGTGTAGAATCCAGAACTACATTCTATCTCCTTACTTTCAACTAGTCAAGGGTAATCACACTATAAATATTTACTGAATGCCCACTCTGCAGTGGAATATCCAAAGCCATCAGGAAGGTTAAAGTCTAGGTGCAGAACAGAGACATATACCAAGCTGAAAATGATCAATGAGTAATATAAACAGAGACATATACCTTTAACCACACTCCAGTCTATCCCATTAGATAGATGGTTAGTGTTCAGTTGCTAACCATCTTGAAATTACATCTTTGCCTCTTTAATTGTCAATGGTTAATCTGAGGTGGTACAATGATCAAGTAAAGATCTAGAGTGACTAACTAGTCTTTGTAAAATCTAGACTGACTAGTCTTTGAGAGTAATAAGCATTTTTCACTATTCCAAGGCTAGGGACTACACTTTTAACCAGGTCAGCTAATTTGCAATGTGCGGTCTGATCAGCAGGGAGCCTGGTAAGGGAAGGCTGGTAAAGGTTCTTCACTATCATATAAAAAGCATACTATTCTTAATCTATTATCAAAATCCTTGATTACAACCCCTTTTCTCAACTCATTTCCAGAATTCTATATTCAGATTATTTCTATCTTTTCCATATTCAGCTCCCAGATGCCCTCAAGATAACCAAGCAATGGCTACTGCTAGAGTAACCCACTACTCTGTGATAATAACACCTATGTGTGCTTGTGTGTGTGGCAAACATCCCACTTCCCCTTCTCTCCTCTCTAGTACTACTCCCCCCTCTGACAAGACTTCCATAAAGCAGATCTGAGCATTAAATATCATGCTCCCAATAAGCTTTGTACATACTCTCATTAAAGCAAATTTCTTAGTGTGATTGAAAAATAGACACCACAACTATACTTTAAAGAGCACTGGTGGTGCAACCGTTAAGTGTTCAGCTGCTAACTGAAAGTTCTGCAGTTGGAACCCACCAGCAGTACCACAGGAGAAAAAAACTGGTAATCTGCTTCCATACTAGGAAATTCTTTTGGGCAGTTCTACTATGTCATATCCAGTCACTATGAGTTAGAATCAACTCAACAGCACACAACAATATAACTATACTATCAGTTTGATATTTCCTCAGCCACATAACCTACCCCCAAGGAGCTCTGGTTGCGTAGTGCTTAGGGCATTTGACTGCTAACCAGAAGGCTGGATTTTCAAACCCACCAGCCACTCCGCAGAAGGAAGACTGGGCAACCTACTTCTGTAAAGATTTACCGCCTCAGAAACCCAAAGTGGGGTGACTATGAGTCAGAATCGACTCGATGGCAGTGAGTTTGGTTTTTTGGTTTGGTTATAACCTACCCCAACATCCCCATACTCTAGCCTTTGCTATAGCTAGGAGAACAACAAACAAACAAGAAACTTACCAATATTTTTTTTCACCCCTGCTTTTTCTCTTAGGCAATTTGTAAGTTCCATTCCTTCCTCTAGAACTTTGTTATTCAGTTCAATATCATAATGCATTCCTTAAATTAATCTAGCACCAACTTTTCCACAGCATCCTCACTTTAATACATATATATATATATATTACTGATCTACATTACTCCTTTTGATATATTAGACCAAGGCTGTATATCCTTGGAATTCAGATTATATTATATTAGAAACTCCAAGAGGAAGGGTTTCACCTGTCATATTCACCACTGTATATCCAGCTCCCAAAACTGTGCCTAGCCCACAGTGCTTGATAAATATTTTTTTAAATAAATAAATGAAAGATCTCCATAAACAGATCTTTATGGATGTTTGCCACACACACTTCCCACAGTTAACACTCTAAAAGAGAAAACTAGTTAAGGTTGAATCAGCATCCCTCCTTAGCAGTGATGTGCCCTTGCTTCAAAACACTTTTCTGCAAGCTTTTCCCACCAGAGAGGGAATTATGCCAACTATCCTTTACTTGTAATTATTCTATTCAATATGAGAAGTCTCCCAGTAAGCCCGTAAGAATAAGATTTCCTCCCAAGAGTCCAACCATGCATACTTGAACTAGTGGCTCATATGGGTACTGAATATACATACTGAGATACTCCTGATAAGGAGCACTGGTGACACAGTGATTAAGCACTCAGCGGCTAACAAAAAGGGTGGTGGATCAAACCCACCAGCCGCTCTGTGAGAGAAAGATGTGGCAGTCTGCTTCGACAAAGATTTATAGCCTTGGCCTCTGGGGAGAGTTCTACTCTGTCCTATAAGGTCGACATGAGCCAGAATTTGACTCAACAGCAATGGGTTATGTGTACACCTGATGGAAGCAATGTGCTTTTCAGTACAGTATTTCAACTTCGAAATGCCAAAAATACGAACATTTGGAAATGCTGAAATAACTGACTACATTTGACAGTATTCATCTGATCTCTGACATTTTGTACACTCAGCATATTGTGTTTTAACACCTGCTGTGTGGCTTTCTATGTCAAACTAAATTCGTAACCAATACACATATTAATGAAGGCAGAAAAAATGCGTGCTATTTCAAAGAGAGTAGACGCACTAAAAATTAAGAGGCTCACTTTCTTCCCACCTCTGCTACAATCTCTCACACAAGTTATTTTACCTCCAGGAACCACCATCATCCAACCTATACATTAGAAATTTAAAAAAAAAAAAAAAATCTGTAAAATTTAGAAGATATTATATAAATGGAGTGTAACTCTAGCAATGTACTTTTTGTAAGATGAGGAAGCTAACACAGTATTTGTTCTATTCAAAGTCTGATGTGTGCTAAACATAGAATTTTACTTGTAAGCATCCCTAAAGGTTTCAATTTAATACGTAATTCTTCACTTCGTGTTCTGAGATGTTCTTTGGTGGTGTTGAGAGATACAGGCTGACTGCTGGGTTTCACTCTAGTCTGGCTAGATTTCAGAAAAAAAAAAAAAAGAAAGAAATCTGCCCCATTATAAAAGTTTTCAAGAACTCTGGGACATTATTATTTTACTGCATATTTTTAACATAATGGATTTTTTTTTAGTTAGAAGAAAAGGAAAATTGGTTCAACATGGGAAAATATGAAAGAAAAAATTCCCTAAGAGTAAAATACACAAATTCATTTTACTTTTCTTAAGCAGAATAATAATAATCATATTAAATACTGGTATGTTTTACGTATTACATTTAACAACAATAGGTAATCACAAGTTGTATGAGTTTTCTACGAGGCTTAGAATGTGTCTTGGGGGGGAAAAAAGCTAACTAATACCATGTAGTGACAGCCTCTCCTGCCTCTCCTGTTATGGCTGAACTCTATTTTAAGGAGTAAGTATATTGTTTTTTTCTACTATTCACTCTACCCAATCAGACTGCCCAATGTTTTTCTGAAGAAAATAAAAAAGGGAGCAGGAGTGTACTGTATTTGACTTTATATCAATCAAAAGTATAATTATATGTTTGAGGGTTTTCAAAAAAAGTAAATCTCTGAAGCTAAAAAGTTTCCCTTGGAGATTCTCAACTGTGTTTATCTAAAAGTAAACCAGAAGAATCAAGAAATTTTTACACATTTCATCTGCACCAAATCCAAGCAATGGAAAAACATTTTGCAGGGTAGAAAAGGGTAGAAAGCAGTCAAAACAATCACCGTTGAACTAGTTAGGAATAAGTATGGATTAAAATTTGGTTCTACACTATCCAATACAAAAGTATGGCTCTTCATGGAACAACGTGTGATGAAACCTTAACAATTAAATTTCTAAGTGCTTTTAACATATTAAATCTACAAATACAATACATGTCATGGGAAAGGGGGAAGTAATTTCCTGTCCTGACACCTCAAAATAGCGAAAGAAGTTCCTTTATTCAGCACACCTCACTCTAGCATTTGGATCACATGATACGTAGTTGACTAAAAAAACTAAAAGGATATTTAACTCTAGAAATGCTATTGAAATTTTGTGAGTCCCCTTATGACTGTAACTGTGAATTACTCTAAAAGAGAAGCAATGGAGAATTAACTCAGACCCTTAAAATTGTTTTGTGGTCTTAGAATATGGAAGTTAAAATTGTCTATAACATTTCTACGGATAGAACACTAGTCTTAACTAATCAGTTACTCTTGCAGGTCAATGGCATTTGTCATACTGTACTTACAGAACAATTGAAATATAATTACTTTTCAAGCTAGAATCTGATCAAACATTTCTCTTTTTTTTCTGATTTCAAATATCTCTACTTTCTGTATTGAAGAAAAGGTGAGACAGTAATTGCAAATGGCAAAAATTTTATTCTGTGATAATAATTTTTAAATAGCTTGTTGTATTTAAAAATTTCCAACAAATATTAATTCTGAAAACTTAAGCCCAAATTTGGAAAATGCCATAGAATTACAGGAAAAAAAAAGTAAATACAATGTAATATTTTATAATTTTTAAAATGTCAAAGAAATAAATTTTGGTGGTAATTTATTTCAATTATGAAGCTAATTTGATCATCTCACAAGAGATACACTAGACTTTTGAAAGAATATAAACAGCAATGCCAAGGTTGAAAAAAATGAAAGATAATCTAATATGGCTGTTCTCAAATATATTTCCTAAAAATTTTTTTAGTATTTATTTTCCATCTAAATTTTTCAGATTACCCTACTCAATCTTAAAAATCTTTAAGTAATTTTTATTGCATTTAAACACAAAAAATTGTCTTTATTCAATTTGCAATCTACTGCAATCTGCATAATTTTGCCTAACAATTCACATTAGGTTCAATAAGGTTTTAACAAGTTTAAGAAAAAACACACCCAAACCCATTACTCTCCAGTCAATTCCCACTCATAGCAACCTTATAGGACAGAGTAGAACCGCCCAAAAGGGTTTCCAAGGCTGTCAATCTCTAAGGAAGCAGGCTGCCACATCTTTCTCCATGGAGTGCCTGGTAGGTTCAAACCACCAACCTCTTGGTTAATAGCTGAGCACTTAATCACTGCACCACCTGGGCTCCTCAACAAATTTAATATCTATCTGAAAATGGGTTTTCTTTTTTTAACATTGCTAGAAAAAGATATGGTACTGGTACATATATAGTCCGGTGTTCTCTAACTTAAAACAGCACAATAGACACTACCCTTAGTTTAAAACATACATCTGGACTTCTGCATAGTGTTTCAGCTTGAAACTATTTAAAGCAACTGAATTATGAACCCTGAACACCAGGCTTCACAGTGGAAATGCTGACAGACTCCTAACAATAAGAGTGCTACTGAATGCTGGGTTAACATGTTCTCTCCACTATTCCTACCTGACCATCAACAAGTGAACTCAATTTGCAAATTGCTTTTTTGTCACTAGAACTATCTAGGACAGAAAGGATCTGGGATCCTCTAATAAGATATCTTAACTATTTTAAGCATTCAGTGACATACACCTGAAAGCCATGCTAAAAATATCTATTTCCATTTCCTTGACACCTGGGGAAATGAGTATTTTAAAACCCGAGACCTATGTTAAAAATACAAACTGTGTATTATAACCAACTTTACATATTTTAAAGTATACTAGTTTTTGCACCTTTACATTAGTATAATACAAGTTGTCAGTATAAATGAATTTTTATACAATCCCAAAACACAATCAGATAAACAAGACTAATATAATAATGTTGTCTTAATACAATACATTGTCAACATCATTTTGAAGCACTATCTTAAATTGACATTATCAGTAGACATAGTTTAATGAATTCACTTTTGATCTCTGTAGCTCTAAGCTCAGCGTCATAGACATAAATTATGGGTTCAGTAAATAGTTTAGTGTATTGATTTGAATGCCAGACTTCTCAACATTTAAGTTCTGTATGTTGTTTGTGTGCATGTTTAAAAATGTATTTACCTATCTGCTATCTACTCAACAGCACTAAAATTTATTTTATACATAGCCCTAAATATGATAGCCAAATTGCTGTCACCACTTTTAAAACTGAGACTTCTTTATGTTATTTCTTTATTACAGATGTATTTGATTATGCTGTAAGAGTGTAGAACATCTTATGCTCTCAGGCTATTATCCAGAAAGTAAGGTAAAGAGAGGCAGGTTCTCAACATTCAGGTGAAAACAATAAAAATCGTTATCAAAATATGGATGACCTAAATATCTATACAATTTTTTTTCAGCAGAGAGACAAAACTTCTATATTGAATGGATACTAAGTTTTATACACTATTTGAATTCCTTTAAACTCATGGGGGAGGGGAGCCAGGGGATAGCCAAGTTTTAGATTAATTCAATTAATATGAATTAAAATATTCCATTTAATATGGCTAGTTGTTCTCTGCAGTTTTATTTACAGCTGAAAAGTAAAATAACAAAAATACTTTCTGTAATTACGTATGATTAAGAGTAAATAAAGCAATTTATTTTCAAAATAATTTCAACAGGGTGATAGTGAGAAAACCGGAATAACCAAAATATCTGAGAACATAATAGTTCACACTAAATTGCATTCTATCCTTATGATAAAAAAAAAAAATTCCGTCCAAAATACTCTTGCTCAACATCAATTTAGCATCATAAGTGCAAGAGAAGAAGAGTTCAAGACAGTCATGCCTTAAACATATTACCTGGAAAAACGGTATATGCAGCATCAAACATCTAAATTATATCTTTAAAAATGCAGGCACCTATCCTTATAAACTACAAAACAACTTGTGGCATTGTATAGACAAAATATCTAGATTGATAATTTTGTTTTTATCCAAATGTTAGTTGTTTTGTTTGGGAGGAAACAAATGTTCACCCTGACGTAAAGCAAATTTAGAAATTTCTGGGGCCTTGGACAATGAACATTGCAAAAGATGCCTCATAGGTAAACTTAAACATATTCTGAGCTTTTCATATTCAAGGAAGAAAAAACATCAACCTACAAAATGGTTGGTTTAAAAAAAGAAAAAACATTTCTTGAGCCAACTGCAAAATGAAACTTGCCCCAGAAAGCAACATCCCCTTTCCATAACAATTCATTCTGATTTCTGTTCTGATATAAGAACTGGGGCGATAACCAGCTCTAATTGACCTGGGCTCCTCTTTCTTTTCCATCCCACCCACACACGGAATCTGAATGGGTGCGTGAGGCGGGGACGAGGGGGGGGCGGAGGGAATGTGTGATCAACAACTGAGAACTGCCAGTGTCCCGTGGGAGTTTGGCCCCAGGGTCCACAAAGGAGTAACTGGCACAATTCCTCTCCCCACTCCCTCAAGGCCCTGCTTACCCAGTTCTCCAGAGACCCTAGAGCCCAGGGGACTCACGCCCACCTCCTCAAATTCCCCAGGCGAGAGAGGGCCAGAGGCGTCTCTTTTTGAAAGTTCTTTTCCCTGTCTGCCTAACCGCCCTCTCCATCCTTGGCGTCTAGTCCTGCGAGTGTGGACAGCCGGGTAACCCATTTCCCCTAAAGCCCAGTGCGCGCTTGGCATGGGGCTCCGAGTCTCCCCCTGGCGAGAGCTGCCCAGGGAAATCTGGACAGCATTAAGGAGACTCTCCGGGCTACTGCGAGAGGATGCGGACCCTACATCCTCAACCTGCCAAACTGATGCCTGAGACTCCACCACTGACACCCAACCTCAAACTAACGGGCAGCGCCCGCTGAGGAGGCCGCGGGGCAAGCGGCGGCCGCTCTGAGACCCCGGCGTGACTCCCTCCGCAGCACACCACGGCCAGGAACCACCCACTATCTTTGGGAAGCAGAAGAAGGACGGGCGACATGACTTTTGGTATTTAAGTACTTAAAAATCATAATAATAAAATCTGCAAAATGTCACCTCAGTTTACAAGTCGGGGAAACCGAAGATGTTTCACAGGTTTCCTTCTCAACTCTCCATGACTGGCCAAGGCAGGAGTTCGCCCCGGGCGGCAAGAGGCGGCCCGAGCCCCCGCCCCCTCCCCCAGCCCGCGCTTCCTTGCACTCGAGGGTCCAGCGCCGGGCCCAGGAGCTCCTCTGCCTCTAGCAGCGCAGCGACCCCGCCTTCCTCGTCGGTAACGGGAACTGGCGCGGGTCAGCGAACAGAGCAAATGCCCGCGTCTAGCAACCTCTCCGCTCCCCGAGTGCCCAGGTGTGTCCTAGACCCTCCCTGACACCGGTACTCGGGCCCGCGCGCCTCAGCCGGTAACTCGCGCCCCACCTCGGCTCAGGCCCCACGAATATCGGTCTCCGAGCCCGAGAGGGCCCGGGGCCTCTGGGGCTCAAATGAGTTAGAGGGGGCGCCGAGACCAGCGGACGGGCGTTCTGCTGGAAGTGGAGGGATGGAATGGGATTAGGATCGCACGGGACCCCGAGGATGCGGCAGTGCGCGCAACCCGTGGTGCGCGGTCGGCCGAGTTGCGGGGGAAAGAGTGCAGTAGTACACCGGGAGAGTACTGGGATCCTGGCCCCTGGGGAAGGGGGCGGGGTGGGGTGAAGGCGCAGAATGGGCACCTGGGGACTCCTAGAAAACGGGAGAAGACTCAGGGGAGGGGGTTAGAACAGAGGCCGGAAAGCTTGAGGGATGATGTTCAGGTAAAGGGGACATGGGCTAAGGTCAGGGTGGCTGCGGGCTCAGGTGGGAGAGGGAATCGGGATCCTTGCGGGGTGACTGAGCCCGGAGCATGGCTGGCGAACGAAACAGGGTCAGCTGGGGCCCCTCGGGTTAAAACGGCGTAGAATAGAGGCTTTGGAAGTCGACTGGGCCCCAGCCCAGGCGAGTGTGGAGACACCGGCGAGCAGGTCCCGCGGCGAAGGGCCAGGGGTGGCTGCAGCCTCTTACCTTGAAGGCCACGGGCAGCGTCTTGTTGCAGCGCCAGTGCGATGGCAGCACGGAGCACAGGAAGTTGGGGCTGTCGGTGCGGACGAGCTCGGCCGGGTGGTCGGCGATAATCTCTACCATGGTGCGGTTGTCGTGCGGCGGCCGCAACCGGGGCACTGCGGCCGCGGCTGCTGCTGCAGCCGCCGCCGCCGCTGCCGCCGCCGCCGCCTCCTGCTGCTGCTGCTGCTGCTGCTGCTGCTGCTGCTGCTGCTGCTGCTGCTGTTGTTGCGCAGCCACCACCGGACTCACGTCGCTCATCTTGCCGGGCTGCAGGCTGCTGGAGGGGGGGCTGAAGCGCCGGCTGGTGCTCGGATCTACGGGAATACGCATCACAACAGCCACAAGTTAGCGAAGTGGCCGGGGGAGGGGGAGGAGGGTGGAAATGAGGGGCGAGGAGGAGGAAATTGGGGGGGTGGAGGCGAGACAGGGGGAAAGGGGATGGAGGTGATGGGGCTGAGGAGGTGAGAGATCAAGTTTGATGGAGCCGACTGCCGGGCGGAGTTTGATGGGGCCAGCGGTGCGGATGCACAGCAGTCGGGCCGGCGGGTAGGGCGGCCCGGGAGGCGCAGATCTTGGCCGGAGCCTTTGAAACTCCCAGGGTGGCAGCTGCGAACGGGCCCGGGGGCACGTTTGGCCCTGGGAGGCAGGGGGCTTGAGTTTGCAGCGTGGAATGGGGTCCCCTGGGGCACCGTGTCCTGGGTGCGCTGGCGCCCCCTCCCAGTTCGAGTCCAGCGGTGGAGTAGAGTAGATTCAGCAATGCAGCCCGGGAGCCCGCACAGCCGCGCGCAGCTCCCCAGCTGCAGGCGTCCGCGCCTCCGCCCTCCCGCGCCGCCGCCGCCTCCGCCTCCTCCGCGGCTGCCGCCACTCGCCCCGCTTCGGCTGCTCGCTCAGATTCCTCCCGAGGCGGCTGCCAGCCGGGCTCCTCGGCTGGGTTCCTTCCTCTCCCTTCTTCTCTTCTCTCCCTCTCACCGCCACCTCTTTGCATTCACTCCCTCCTGCTATTTGCAAGACTCCCCAGTCCCTTGCACTTCAAGGTGTCTGTCAGGAGGTAAGTCGCGGGCAGCGGATCTCGGGACAGCGGATCTTGAGCCTGCGAACCGCAGCCGCTGCCGCCGCCCGCCAGCCACGAGAAGGAGCCCCCCGGACGCTGCACGCAGCTTCCGAAGCTGAGAGTGGCGGCCCCAGTCTAGGGGGATCTCGCCTGGTCGTGTCTTTTTGGCCCCCCTCCCCAAGACAAGGGACCCCTCTTGGCCAGACGAGATTGAAGCTGAGACTCCAGGGAGCCGGGGGCTGATCTGACTGTCGTTATTTTTCGTTGTAACTTCAGGAGAGGAGGAAGGAAAATTCTTGAGCGTCTGTGCTGACTTCTCAGCACTGTTCACCCACCCCACCCCACCCCACCCCCACCTCTGCCGGAGCGGCTGGGGGGGGTGATCTTGCAGAGTTTGGGTGTGTTTTTTTGTTGTTGTTTTTGGTTATAAGTGGCACAAAAAAAAAAATGGGGGGGTGGCACTTGTCAAAATAGTTTTTAGAAACTCAAGTGAGTGACGGAACACGTCTTGTTTCTTACACAGTTAAACATGCTATTCCTAGAGAACAAGGATTAGTCTTTGAAGGACTGGAAAACTGTCAGCTTGGTGATTAAAATAAGTTGCAAAAACCCTTGCTGGGATAAAACCCAGCAGTTTTCCATGAATTTCTATCCTTTATTAAGTCTATTCTGCATCTAAAACTAAGTCTAGTGTCTTAACTTTCTTCCGCACGGCTCCTGGGGGGAAAAAATTATAAATAAAAAATTCAGAATGCTTCAATGGCTGTTTGTTTATGTATTTATTTCCCAATGTGGGTTAAAAAAGCGACTTTGGAACCCCAAAAAAGTTGTGGTCGAGAGGATGAAGGAGCGCGAAAAAAAGCGGCAGTTTTTACCTAAAATGTGGTTTTTGGAGGCTGGGATTTCTAATGATTAGGTTTTTGTGGTTTATATAGACACGACTCTGGCGAGGGCGATCATTACGCTGATGAGAGTCAGAAGCACGTGGGTGTCTCCGACCAGCCTCAAACTCTGAACCTTAAAAACAAATAAAACAATGTGCGGAGCCCGCAGAAGCCGGGAAATCTGCTTGAGGCTATTGCACCGCCAAGATGGGGACACAGGGCCTTTCCCCCTCTGTGTTGCGAATTGCTACCTTCTTTGCTTTTTGTTAAGCTAGTTTAAATCTTTTAAACCTTGGAAATACATTTGCAAAAAGAATCCTTAGTCGCTAGAGTTTCAAAGATTGTTCATAGGTTATTTGACACAATAATAAGTGATTTTATAAAGAAAAATGTTTAAATTATTATGAAGTATTAAAGAAGAAAGATGATTGGGTCAACATTCCCCAGCCCCATCTCATTCAAGACAATTTACATACCCATTAATACGTGTTTTTATTGCTCAGCGCAGACGCCTCCTTCCCCCTGGTAGCGACCTGCCACGACCCTCCCTCTCAGTTTTTAAAGCTTTGATACCACTCGCAGAGCGTGCACTTGGGATCTGCGCCTTTAAAAGGACCTAGAAGGGCTTCGAGAGCGTGGGAGATGCGGAAGAATAGTGTCTGGTGTCCGTCTCGGACTTCAAATAAAAGATGAACTTGGAGGGCTGTGTTGGCGTCCTGTGGAAACCAGGAACTGCCCATCTGGAAATACGTGCTGGAGACAGAGGGGCTTCGAGAGTGCTCGAGGGGCTGGGCGTGCGCTCTCGCGGAGGAAAGGATGGAGTTCCGGGGACTTTGCTCTGTCTTTCCTATTTGGAGCATTATTTTTACCTTTCCTTTTCTCCATTCACTCCTTCAAGCCTCCCCCGTCTGTTTTTCTCTTTCCCACTTTTCTCTCCACTTTCCCGCCTCTCCCCCCCCCCCGAAATCCCTGTACACGCGCTAGTCTCTTTACATCGCCCCTCCCACATTCTCGCCTTCGAAGGCCTCCTGCCACTGCCAACCTCAGTGGCTCAAAGAAGCGATTCTTCACCACCCGCCCTGACACCCATTCCCCAATCCCCTCCTGGGTCCTGGCAAACTGGTCATCCTGTCCGGCCTCCGCTGGTGTGCGAGACCCAGTTCAGCCGAACGAACTTGAACGCTCAGCGAAGAGCTGAGCCGTCTGCTGCGCGTGCGATTTTTAATTATCTTTTCGGTCACAGGGGAGAGCTCTAACCCTGGGCACCGTCGCACCGAAGGCGCACACACAAGAGTCTAGCTTCCTCAGCCGCAGGCAGCGGACCCGAGATGGGAAGCTAGACTACCCTACCAAAAGAAAAAAAAAAAATCACCCTTTTTACACTGAGTGGCACTCAGACATACATCCCCACAAAGGCATCTTTTAAATACACGTACACAAATCACACACACGGATTTTTGTTTTGTTTTGCCTTTGGAAGAGGCAGTTTTATTGTGGGCCACATTGTGCCACTGTCTAACAGAGATCCCTGGCTTATTGTGTTGTGTTGTGTTGTGTTTTTTAAGGAGCGGGGCCTGCAGAGGAGGGGAGGAATTACAAGATATGGATTATTTCTGCCGTCAAAGGGAAATAAAGATTCTGTAACTACCATAGTGGGTGACCCTGGCAGCCTTTTCTGGACTTGTTTTTGCCCTCCCAAGGAAATCCACAGAACAGAGAACTCCCAGGAAAGTTGAAGATGTTGAGAATATCAACAGTTTAAATATGGGTGACCAGAGGGACGTTATATTTTAAAATAAGAAATTATCAGACAGTTTTATCGTCTTGGTAATCATCCTGAGGATGTTGCCTCTCTCTTTTGCCATGGCTGTTTTGTCCTTTCTTTGTCTTGCTGCAATAAGACTATTGGGATGGGCTGCAAAATATGCAGGCCTCAATGGCTGATTACACCGACAGGGAGTATTCAGGGTGACTTAATCAATGAGAGATTATTTATTTAATTAATCGCATCCGGTAATTCAGTTTTATAGCTTTCCCTGGCATCCTTCCTCCATTTCACATTTTAATGGAACTAATATAAGCAACTCTTGGAAGTTACTCTTCTTGGATCCCTTAAAATATCCTACAGTTATTTATAATGTGGAAATGAAATTTTCCACTGAATACTCTAACAAAGTTTCAGGTATCTGGCACAGCAGATTTTCAGTCTCCTTTCAAAAATATCCTTTTGCTGAACATTCACACTCTCAACTGGAACTGACTGAGCCTGGAACTGATGATGTCTTGGCACAAAGTGTTACATTTAAAGGAAGAAAAAAAATTTACAGACCCTAAACCGAAGCTCTACTGGTAAAGTAGGCACATAGGAAATCATAACATTTTACATATGTGTATTTTGTGATCTCACCCTTGAGTTAAGATTTTCTTCTACCCCCCCAAAAGCATATCATGCAGTAGATTTTTTTCAGAAATACCCATATTTTCAGTTTCCTGCTATGCCGTGAAAAAGAACATAGATTTTTTTCTGAGAACATGGCTAATCTGAAAGACATAAGCCCCAATTTTCCCCTCTATGTCTTTTAATATTTAATATAATTGTCAGTAAGGATACCTGGCAATTCTGACTTCCCAGGCAAACAAAGTGAGATGTGAGTCAAGTTATTTACCTAACAAAGAACTGAATCCACAAACTGGGAACAGAACCAACCCACGCTCCTTTCATTCAGATTTCCTGTTCTGTCTCCTACACATCATTTTATTTATTTATTTATTTTTCATATTGAAAGTGAAAAAGTCATTGTAAAATCTTAAAATATCTCTCCATGGGCCAACTAGTAAAGTGGGACAACCTTTCAGATGTACAATAAAAAATTATGGACATTTTGATGATGCCTAACGCTTTGAATGTGTCATTTGAGGGAACTTTATGAGTAGAGCCATCTTTAGAGGGTTTTCCTTTGGCCCAAGACCAAGTGAAGGTTACTCAGCACTTAAAGAAGACACACTGCAACTAGACCAGGAGTCATCTAACTACATCCCACAGGCCAAATCTGTACTGGCACTTATTTTGGTACAACCACAAGCTAAGAATGGTGTTTGCATTTTTGAATAGTTGGAAAACAATCAAATGTAGACTTTCATGCCACATGAAAATTATGTGAAATTCAGATTGCAGTGTCCATAAATGAAGTCTTATTGGACTACATCAATGCTTATTTGTGTACATATTGTCCATAGTTACCTTCAAGCTAAAACAGCAGAATGCTTGTGATAAAGGTTTTTTGCCTCACAAAGCCTAAAATATTTACTATCTAGTTCTTAACAGAAAAACTTTGCTGACCTCTGTCCTAAACTGAAGTGAAAGATTCAGGACTCTGACAAAATAGAAGAGGGGA